TGCAACTTTTTTAGATGCACTTCCGAGTATGCTCTCAATCATGCATGCATGTATACATACATACACACATACAATAAGGGGATGGATTAACATATTATTGAGAAGACACAGAAGATGGTGAAATTATGATGGTATGTCATCATTCTTACAACTTTGAAACCATTGCTTAGGTTTTGCTTACGTGCAAATCACTTTGAATCTATGACAGTGTTTGAAATTCCATATCAGTGTTGGTGTATGACATAAGGCCATGGAATTTGCAGGGAATCCGGATTTAGTTTAAAGCGAAGGTCAATGTGTATAAAAAAGCTGGTGACTGCATTTATATAACAGTGAATGATGCCAAAGACTTATGTGGTGTTTGGTTCGTTGGAATGTTTATGAGGGAATTGGAATCTGTGAAGGAATTGGAATATGTTAGGAATTGAAATATGTTAGGAATTGAAATATGAATCTGAAACCTGTTTGGTTGGCAGAAAATTGAATTGGAATTTAATTTCATATTCTGTTTGGTTCGTAGATATGTCAGATGAATTTGATTTTAGTAATGTAAAATAACATAATTGTCCTTCTTGTTTTTTTGTTATATTTTAGTTTGTTTTATAACTTACATGTAACAATATATTATAAAAATTAAAAAAATATTAAATTTTCATTTTATTGATTGATTATTCATTTCAATAAATTATAAAAATCATGTTAATAAACATCATAAGTTAAAATCATCGCAATTAAGGATGGTCATGGGTCGGGCTGGGCCGGGTTTTTGGTCCATCCGATCCGACCCGAGAACAAAGGAACATCCACCCAAGACCCGACTCGACCCGACCAAAATAAAGTTTCACCCGACCCGACCCAACCCGAATATATGAATTAGAAACCCGACCCGACCCGACCCGAAATAATAAAAACTTATTTTTATTCAATAAAAAGTGACTTAAAAAACCCTAAACCTGACCCAAACCCTAAACCCGACACCGACCCGATCTGAATATCACACTTAAAAAAATTGACCCGACCCGAATATCAAACTTAAAAAAACCCGACCCGGCCCGATCCCGAAATTTAAAAAAAAACTGATCTGAACCCGACCCGAATGTCTCATTTAAAAAATCCCGACCCAAATACCAAAAGATTGACGAGGGTAGTATAGTCAAATTTCACATTCTCTCCTCCAAAGGATTTCAATTCTATTATGTTATGGATGGAATTTATTTTCCATCATTTGATGGAATTGAATTCCAATTATGCCTTTGAAAACTTGAACCAAACATGAAAAAATTGTGGAATTGGATTCCAATTCTCCTAATTCTAAGAGATTCCATGAACAAACCGCCACTCTAGGGAACCCCTATCTCTGTTTCTCTCATACTCGCACGTCTGCATCCAACACGGCAATACGCAAAGCCTACGTCTGTTCGACGTGCACTCTTACATTATTCTCTTCTGCACCTTGCATCCAACACAACAGTTTTGGTCATATCTATTATTATGGTGAATTTTTCTAAAATATATTTTTAAATTTTGTGACTTTTAATTTGATTCTCAGGTCTTGTAAAATTTTACAAGACTTGTGTTATCAAAATCAAGATTTTTTATTAGTTTAGATTCATTAAATTTAATTGAAAAAAAAAGCACTTGAATTTAGGGGGGGGGGGAACAAGGTGGTGATGGCGTGGATTTAGTGCAACGAGGCAGAGCTTGGTGTTTCCTTGGCTATCTGTACTTTTAATTTCTTTGCCTTGCGTATCACTATAACATACATGATTGCATGTCGCATGGGTTTTGGCGCTCTTTTGTCAGATTTTTGTCTTTTATTTTGCAACATCATGAATTTCACTCATTATTTCCCTTCCTTACCCATTGGCCAATGCCTTTGGGATTGTCACCAAACAAAATTACAATTTACAAATAAAAAAAGGGCCAACTCTCTCTTGCACTTATAAACACTGGAGCTTCTTCACATCTTCTCGACTCAAAATACGTTCCAAACTCAATACTCATGGACGTCAGTTGTGGGTGCGTTGCTCCTTATTGGAGAAGCAGGGCACGTGCAAACAAGTCTTGTCAAGATTTGACATACATGGATTTCTATATATGTATATTTATTATAAAAGATATCCTCTCTGCATGTGCTCTCTTTCTCCAACGTGGGTTCCTCACCTTATTATCTCATCTCTCTCAGCATGCTCCTCTAATTCTTGTAGGTAACGCAGTAGCATATTAATATATAATTACCGATCTCCATTTACTCACTAAAATTTCTGCCTTCTTCGTCTTCTTAATTTTTTATTAATGCATGTTGAAGTCCGTTCACTATGCTAAACCATTGGATTGGAATATGTATATAGTATATATATGTTTTTGGGCAATACATCGCACTGAATATATATACAACGAGATCAGCAGCGTTGGTATCCCGGGGGTTTTAAGTGCACCTCTGACCTTCTGATGCATGCATGAGAATGACACCCTTTGAGATTGGGGCCGGAGATTATGTGCATCATCATTCTTCATCAATCCATCCAAGTCTAGAAAACCCCATTGCTACACTATATTACAAGGATTCTTTTTATTTTACTAAACTAATAATGAACACATTAACGTTGCACACATCCATTTCTGTTGTTTTAATTTGAATATCAGTAATCAGACTGCAGCTTGCAATGCTCCGTCAAGTAATCACTTGGGGGAAGTAAATGTGGTGAAGGTGACTTTGATTTGGTGGAAATAAGAGGAGTTCAAATGAAGATGTTGAAGAAGTAGATGATGAAGCAACAAATCATCGGAATGTCAAGTGATGCCTTTGTAGGTCAGACTTCACATTGTTAGAGTATGATGTCTACTGATCAAAATTCAATTTTCTATTTACGTTTTTGAATTTTGATGGTTGTAGTACGTCGGACTCTAATTCAACTTTTCATCTTTTGTTATTTATTCAGCTAATTATATGTACCGAGTATTAATTGGATTGATATAAAATTTATTGATCTTTTCTAAAGCTGCCAGTTTGAGTAAATTTAAGCGAATAGTGTCCTCTATTTTATTGATATCTCAATAACGCCACATTTAGCACATGCACTCCATGTAAAACAAACTCAACATCTATAAATATTGTATTTTATATACGGGTAAATTACACTATTAATCATTAAATTTTAGACTTTGTATTGATTTTAGCGTTGGATTTTAAAACATTTTAATATAAGCGCTAAATTTGAGTTTTAAGTTTAATTAGGGCATGCATTGTGACATTAACGACACATTAAGTCGTTAATGACATGATGAGGTGACTGTTTCTTTCTTGTTTTTCTACAAAAAGATGTCAACTCCTTTAGTCATTGTATTGATTTTAGCGTTGGATTTTAAAACATTTTAATATAAGCGCTAAATTTGAGTTTTAAGTTTAATTAGGGCATGCATTGTGACATTAACGACACATTAAGTCGTTAATGACATGATGAGGTGACTGTTTCTTTCTTGTTTTTCTACAAAAAGATGTCAACTCCTTTAGTCATTGTATTGATTTTAGCGTTGGATTTTAAAACATTTTAATATAAGCGCTAAATTTGAGTTTTAAGTTTAATTAGGGCATGCATTGTGACATTAACGACACATTAAGTCGTTAATGACATGATGAGGTGACTGTTTCTTTCTTGTTTTTCTACAAAAAGATGTCAACTCCTTTAGTCATTGTTGTTGATCAAACGTAGTTCAACATTGATCATCATTCACGACAAGATCAATAATAAAAAAGTTTGTATTTTATTCCTTTTCCTTCTCCAGATAGTTTATTTTAAGAAATTCAATCAAAATAATGAAAATCCATTTAAAGGTTCAATGATGTAATGTTATGATCTCCTATGAAGATCGTTTGATGAGGCTTGTTTCAAGGTACAATGTTTATCTTTTTATAAGAAAATATTTATCATCGTTCGGCTTTTTCAACAAACACTTCAAACTCCTTAAATCTGATAAAGTGAACAATAAGACAAGTTAATCAATGTCTAAGGTGATTGCAAAAGATATCATATAATAGTTATTTTCGGTGCCCGACTAAAAATGAGTGAATAACCTAATTTTAATAAAGAAGACGACGAGGTCAAATAATTATTTGACTTCCACTTCAACACATGTCAACAACATAACTATCACATCATCATTCCATTGCTTTATATGGATCCAAAACTAAAGTTTAGTACTTATATTGAAACATTTTAAAATTTAATGCTAAAATTGATATAAATTTGAAAGTTTAGCGACTAACAATATAATTTACCCGTTTATAGATATAGCAAGTACCAACTGAATTTAACTTGGTATATATCATTACTGTTACAATGAGGACATGAAATCAAGTATATTTAAATATTTAATATCCTTTGATTCAAGAATGTGATCTAGATAATATAAATACCGGCATGCTTTGCTTGGTGCAGGTGATTAAGAAACCGGGTGTAATTATAAAACCATTCAAGTTTGGGCCTCGAGGAAGACGATCACAAATGGAGTTACACAAAGCTGGACAACAAACAGAAGCAAAGGTGCCAAGGTTGGCAAGACGAAGAAATAAGCGATACACACCTCCTAAATCTCATGCTTTCCGGAATGGCTTAACATAGTCCAGAAAGATTGATGTTTAAAGGATTTTAAAGATTGTATTATTTTTAATCGGCGGAGCTTAGTTACTAATGAAGTACATTAAAGCAAGTCACAAACTTGTTATGTTTCATCCTCGTTTCTTCACAGCTTAAAAATTCAGTTGAAACTTGATAAGTTTGAATCGGTGGTCCGACCGACACTAACTGGTGGGGAGCGGCATTTGGGCTCGAAATGTAGCACGGCCCAATCCATACTAATTCTGTCTACTGGAAACTGCACTAGTGGGGTCAGCCGGCGCGGTTATACCTTGCCGCCGGCATTCTGGAGGCTAACTTATAATTCAAATTTTATATTATATTCTGCTCCTGCATTTTACTCTTTAAGTTATTGGAGAGATTAGTAAGTATTAGCCATGAATTCTGTCTAATTGTATTCCATTTTGGGGAAAAAAAGGGGGAAATGTTGCACGAGATTTTACTAGCACTTGTGGGTTACACAGGAGATCTCATAATCGACGAGCGAGAACACAATAAATCTCTCGGCATTTGCTTATCCCCCGACGCACCCATCCCTGATCAACGTTCCTTCAAGCTTGCTTCCGATATCTCCTTTATTGACCCCAGTGAAAGGTCTTCTTTTTTCTATAAAAAAGAGGAAGAAATTTTCCATTTTCGTAAACATCCACAACCGCTTCTTTTTTATTCCATTCTCTTCCTAGGGTTTCATGCAAATGCTTTTGTTTCAGGGATCTTATCGAGAAGCTAATTACTTTAGGGTTTTACTACCGAGAGCTCGACCGCTTTGCCACGAAATCCCGGAATTTAAGCTGGATTAGATCCGCTGATGTTTCTCCTTTGAACAGAGCCTCTGAGTTGTCGAATTCTAAAAACAGGAAGCCAAGCGTTTATCGAAGAGCCATTGCTAATGGTCTGGTGGAGATGCTCTCTGTCTACAAGTCTACTGTTCTTCAAATTGAGCAGAAATTGTTGTCGGAAACCATGCCCATTTTGACAAGTGTCGCTCAAGGCCTCAATAAGGTTTCTTCTTACTTCAAGCACACCGCATAACTTATATAATTTCCTATTTGCTCTTTATTCCCGATTTATAAGTTAATGTTTTCGATGCAGTTCTTTGTAATTTTGCCACCTTTGTACGAGCTTATCCTAGAGATTGAGCGTGATGATATCCGCGGAGGACAGCTTCTTAACCTTTTACACAAACGTTGCCACTGTGGGGTGCCTGAATTGCAGGCCTGCATTCAAAGGTATTCATTTTCTTTCTTTCTTTCTTTCGTCCTTCACCTTTTTAATGAAAAAAAATCCAACAAGTAGTCTCCATTTCTCTTACAAAAATACAATTATGAATTGTATTTATATGCCATATTTTCAGTGTTCATGTAATTGCTTGCAGATGGCTGGGTGCCTGTGACTATGTTTATGCCTGGTTTATAAGGGCCTCTTCAAATGTAGTTATAAGTTATAACCATATGTTGATTGCTTAAAATGCTAAGATTTTTTTATCAGTTTGTAAACTAATTCCTGAACCATAGGCTTCTTTGGCATGGTCATCAAGTGTTGTATAACCAACTTTCGTCATGGATGGTTTATGGAATTCTACAAGACCAGCACGGAGAATTTTTCATTAGAAGGTAAGCAAAACTGCATATGTATTCCGTTTTCTATTCTAAATTTATGATTATTTTTTTATCTCTTAAATCCCTTGATTGTTTGTGAAATTTTAACGTCTTTTATTTCTTTCATTTTGTAATCTTGCATTGGCATTCTCTTTGGTTTGTGTCCTTACAAAATACAAGTTTGAAATGGTTTGATAATTACATTATTTTCAGGCAAGAAGATCAAGATATGGAGTATGGCTCATCTATCCCAGATACATCAGAAAAGTTGGCACGCTTGTCAACTGATGATACATCTTTGACGGATTGGCACTTGGGCTTTCATATATTCCTGGTATTTTGGAGCTGTCTCTCAATTGTTTTTTATTTTTATTTTTTGTATTCACTTTTTTGTGAACTTCCATTGATTGTTTTAGCTAAAATGAATTATAAACTATTTCGGATGGGGAAACACTGTTCTAGGGCTTGTGGTTAATTAGCATACTTTCAGCCACATTCCATCATTTATTTAGCGATTTGTTATCAGGGTAGGGGACATTGCTCACTTTTATTGTTGTTTTGTAGGATATGCTCCCTGAGTATATCCATATGCGTGTTGCAGAGTCTATTCTTTTTGCTGGTAAAGCCATCAGGGTTCTCCGGAACCCAAGCCCTTCCATTCAATTTCAGGACACTCTATACAATCAGCAGACGAAAAAAGGCTCTCAAAAGCTTCAGGGATCTGCCGGGGGTGTTCCTTTCCAGAGAGAGCCTTTTCTGGATGTAAAAAAGATTGGAGAAGAATTGCTCCCAATATCAGAGGCTGATAAGATTGAAACTATGCTTCTAGATCTAAAGGTTTTCTTCAGCAGTTATGTAGTATTATGGTGTCTACTTATGCCCTTAGATGGTATAAAGCCTTTATTAATTGTGCTTTTTATCATATGTAGGAATCATCAGAATTTCACAAAAGATCATTTGAATGCTCAGTTGACTCTATCCGGGCTATTGCAGCTAGTCATCTTTGGCAGGTGCTGTGTTCAAAACTTGCTTCATCCTTTGTGATATATTTGAAGCCTGTACTTATTTAATTTGCTATCGTCCTGCAGCTGGTGGTTGTACGAGCTGACTTGAATGGCCACCTAAAGGCTCTAAAAGACTATTTTCTTTTGGCAAAAGGAGATTTTTTCCAGGTAAAGAATGTATAGCGATATATCCTTTGCACCACACCCAAAAAAGTTTTTTTTCCTTCCTTTTTTTTGTTGGGGGGGGGGTTAAAAATGAAAACTTTGTGCGTTCTACCATTCTCCCTTAACCAACTAGATAAAATTATTTTATTTCCTTGAAAATGTGTAATACAAATTTAATAAATATATATTATCACTCTAGTGCTTCCTTGAGGAGAGCCGGCAGTTAATGCGCCTGCCACCACGCCAGTCAACTGCTGAAGCTGATCTTATGGTTCCATTTCAGTTGGTATGAGATTATTTCTATTAACTTGTTTGAACCCAAAATATAGAAATGGAATAAATGTAGTTGTAATCGGCTTCTTACAGAGGTTCCACAATTATTAACTGTTTGTATGAATTCCTTGGTGCTACATATTTTTTCAGGCAGCCATAAAGACTATTAGCGAGGAAGACAAGTACTTTTCTAGAGTATCTTTGCAGTAAGAATCTAGTCATTTGTCAATTGTGCCATATCTGGAAATTATATGGAACATGTTGTTAGCTGTCTTCCTCATCAATCAGGATGCCTTCATTTGGGATCACGTTGAAATCTTCTCAAAGAGATTTGCCGAAGACAAAAGCATTTGCTGATGGAAGTTCAGAGACCTCACTTGGTGGTTGGGATGGTATTGCACTTGAGTATTCTGTTGATTGGCCCTTACAGCTGTTCTTTACCCAAGAAGTGCTCTCCAAGTAAGATTCAATTGCTTTGTAGGTCCAATATATCTTATTGCTAAAATCTCCTTTAAGGAAGAAGCAACTTTTAAATAATAATTGAATTTAGATGCAATTGATAGGCTTTGCCTATATTTGATTAAAAGAAATATCTTTAAATCTTAATTGTACTCCAGGTATTGTAGAATTTTCCAATACCTGCTGAGGCTCAAAAGAACACAAATGGAATTGGAGAAATCCTGGGCATCTGTAATGCACCAGGACCACACAGATTTTGCCAAACACCGCAATGACCAGATGAACTGCTCAATTTCTCAGCTACGGAGACAACGTTTTAGACCAATGTGGCGTGTTAGAGAGCATATGGCATTTTTAATCAGAAATCTTCAATTTTATATCCAGGTCCTTTATTCTATACAGTTCAAATCATGCTTCTGCAAAATGTTTCCTGATTTTCTATCAATGAAAGAACGGTTTTTTTTTTATATTTTCTAGGCATCATGGAGTTGTCCATTTAGGCTTGGATCTGCGTAACATCCTCATTTTACATTTTTAATTAAACTTTATATCTTTGACGATGATCCAGGCTACTGTTACACAGGTAGCTGAAATAGTTAGATCATTTGATAAGGCTGCTAACTGGGCTTTATATCTTTGAAGGGTGCTCGCCATTTGAAGTTTCTAGTTAGCAACACCTTTCATTTAATTCAAATATCATGTACAAAATACTGGCATAATAATGAAATTACCATTTGAGCTATGGTTAGTTTGGGATGTGCTCTGTGGTTTCTAATGACTTCTTCAGTGCTGCATCATAGGTGGATGAATGACATCTACACCAGTGAATTACTTTAAACCCAACACCTGGATCCTAGTCAAAAGGAGTTGAAAGCACGGTTTCCAAAAAGGGAAATAAAAAATCATGACTTCCGGAAGACTCCTATATAATTTGAGTAGACAAATTCTGATAGATTTTGAGCTCTTTTAGAATTAAATACCAACAAAGTTTATTCCATTTTTGTTATTCTTACCTGTCCAGTATTGATGTGTTATTTTGTTTATTGTATTTATATTTTAGTCTTTTCATGGAGCTTTATAATATAGATTTTATCTTTTCTGTCTAGGTTGATGTGATAGAATCTCAATGGAATGTTTTGCAATCTCATATTCAAGATTCTCATGACTTCACTGAACTTGTGGGTTTCCATCAAGAGTAAGTAGGATGAGTTCTTTATGCCATCATCCTTCTGAACTTTTGTTACCATGTCAGCTTATTATATGCTAACATAAATGGAAAAGCAAACAACCTAAAATCTGAGTCATTATTGCTTGTTACTATTAATAAGGAGTAAGGACTTGTGGGCTGTTTGTTTACTTCAGAATGATTAAGCGTTGAATGATTCAGAAACTCTGAATGAATTAGCTATGAATGTGACATGTTGTTTGATAATGGCTCTGAATCATCTAGAATGTACTTCTGTGCTGAATCATTCAGCACTGTTTTGTTGAATCAATCAACACTGAATCATTTAGAGGTGTGAAATAAACGCGCTGAATGTTGAACGGTTCAGCATTCAGCGCTGAATGGTTCCATTAAGAGGCAAACAAACAATCCCTTGGTTCAACTAAATTTAATACAGGTTGTATCAAATTATGTTTGTCCTTTTGGGTCACTATTGTATATTTCACATATAATCTTTTAAGTAGAACTTTTTTATGCATGCTCCCATAGATTGGCGTTTTTTTTAAAATTATTTTGGTTTGTCGTGCCAAAACTGAATGATGGCTGATTGCTTTCATGTTCTTGATATTGTTACAGGTATTTATCAGCTTTAATCTCTCAGTCTTTCTTGGACATTGGTTCTGTGTCAAGGATATTGGACAGCATCATGACACTTTGTCTGCAGTTCTGCTGGAATATCGAGAACCAAGAAAGCAGCCAAAATACATCAGAACTAGAACATATAACTGAGGTACACATAATTTCCTTATGCAGGTAGAACTGGCAATCATTTTTTTAAATTACTGAATATGAAGGATATGTGCCTTTGTATATCAAGCAATACTTAAAACTTGAGCTTTAGCGGGCTCAGACAATTTGCTTTGGATTTTAACACTTGAGATAAGTCAGTCCACAAAAGGAAAAAGAAAAAATGGATAGGTTAAGCAGTTTGCTTGGTTTGCCACTTGCTATTAGTAGTGGGACTAGACCTCCATCTTTGTATATCTCTGAAGTTGTTGACTCATCATTTCATATGCATGCATATAGTTTAATTAACTTGTGATCAGGAGTTCTTTTATTGTTCATGTTACTGTTTGCATGATCTCATTTAGGACATTGTTCTGAGCCTTTTTTTCAGGAATTTAACAAGAAATCGAACTCCTTATATACCATATTGCGCAGTAGCAGGCTTGCTGGGAGTCAGCGAGCTCCATTTCTCAGACGTTTCCTTTTGCGAATGAATTTTAATTCATTCTTTGAGGTAGGGATACATGCAGTCATACAGATACTATACAAATTAGCACCCATACCTTTCTTACATGCTGTTTTCTCTCTATTTACAGGCAACTGCTAGGGGTGTACTGAATGTTGTTAGACCACGTCCATCTCTTCCTGTTTTAAGTCAGCCATAGCATGCTGATCATACGAAATGTTTGAGCTAGCTTGTCCTGATTCTTATTTGAGTTTTCCGAGTTGTGTTGATGCCTCCTTTTGGTTTTCACTAGAGAATAGTGCTTTCCTCTACATAGCTTCCTGAATTCCTTTTAACCTTATCAGTCCTGTTACCAGTTGTTTATAAGGTTTCTGCTTGCTATACCTGTTGACAATTGAGGAACCATCTGTTGAAATTGAAAATTGAGATAATATTTCTGTGGGTAGTTGGCTTGAGGTTGAGGGTGCAGTTTGTTGTCCCTAGTGTCATTATCATTAGCGTATACAGTTTATCTCTGGGCAGATAGTCGATGGCCCTAAAAATATTTGTCAGTTGAATTGAACCTGTTGTGTATGACATTGGGCGTTGGCTGTTGGTTGCACTTTTTTTTTTTGCATGCCATAAGAAACGCAGTGGATGCCCCCCCCCCCTACATGCATATAAATCTCTGTAAACATTCAAGGTTATATATATATATATATATATTGATGAAATATATTTATCCCAATTTGAACTAGAAATTTTAGTTACTAAAATCCTTTTCTTGAAAATTTGTATAAAATTTAAATTTCCATTATTTTTATCTAAATAAATAAGCTCATTTTTAAAAATTTTTAAAAATATATATAAATAAAATCTCTCTGTCAAATTAGTCGACCAAATACACATATTTTAAACTATTGTTGCAGACCACTGTTTTGCTTTTATTCTACCAACCCAACTCCCCAAAAGGATTAAATTCCTTGTACAAAATAATTTTTCCGAGTTTAAAAGTTGGATTAATAGAATGGGAGGTTCTAATGTGAGCCAGATTAATATATGGTTAAAAAATAGTGTGATTGATTAAATGAATAATCGATTATTAAAATTTTTAATAATTCTTCATGTTTTTCATTTATAACATTATAAGCTGTCAATATTTATGATAATACTTTACTGAATTTATTAATTATCTTATTAAATTTTACGTCAAATCATATATTAATCCGCTTTTTGTTAGATAAATACGGATTAATAGAACTTTGAAAACGGCGGAAATTTGATTTGCGTAGTGAAGCACAAATTTAGAATCAATAAAGCACTAAAAAAATATTTTTTTTTTTTGAAGACTACAAGGCAAGGGCAAGGGGATAAGTTGTTAGATTAGATATAGCAAGGCATCTTTCACTGCCAACCAAGTTCACCTGCTCCTCTCCTCTCCTCCACGCCTAGCTTTCTTGTCTTCACCAGAAACAACCATGGATTCCGACACCCAATCCCTTGAAAACCCTGGAATCGAATCAACTGAAGAACAAAGTCAAACACCAGTTTCTCAATCCCCGTTCGCCACTGCTTCTCTTTCTCTATCTTCCTTACCCGCAACCCTACCTACCCAGTTCTTCATTCAACCCAAAATCTTATCTTTATTCTCTTCTAAATCACCCACTAAGGTTAAAGTCCCAACCCAGGCTTCCTCCCTTTGCAATCTATCCCTTTCTTCAAGTTCCCCTTCTCCTTCCAAATTTTCATTCAAATCCACCTTTGCCAACAACCCTCTCCAGTCTCCTCTCTCCTTGGCCCCGCGCCGCCCTCTGGACCCTTCCAACGGAGCCGCAATTCGCCGAGCTTCCATCATCTGGTTCCGCAACGATTTACGGGTCCACGACAACGAGTGTATCAATACGGCCAACAATGAGTCCATGTCTGTTTTGCCTGTCTACTGTTTTGACCCTCGAGATTACGGGAAATCCTCGTCTGGGTTCGATAAAACGGGTCCCTACAGAGCCACATTCTTGATTGAATCAGTTTCGGATCTCCGAAAGAACCTACAAGCACGAGGGTCGGATCTCGTGGTCCGAATTGGGAAGCCGGAGAGTGTTCTGGTTGAGTTAGCTAAAGCTATTGGGGCTGACGCTATTTATGTTCATAGAGAAGTATCTCATGATGAGGTCAAGGCTGAGGAAAAGATTGAGACGGCCATGAAGGAAGAAGGGGTTGAAGTTAAGTACTTTTGGGGAAGTACTTTGTTCCATGTTGATGATTTGCCTTTTAAATTGGAAGATATGCCTTCCAATTATGGTGGGTTTAAGGAGAAAGTGAAAGGCTTAGAGATAAGGAAGACGATTGAAGCATTGGACCAAATGAAAGGGATGCCATCCAGAGGTGACGTGGAGACTGGAGATATTCCTTCATTGACAGATTTGGGACTTAATCCCAGTGCCACAATGGCTCAGGTTTGAATCTGATATTTAAATTTATGTTCAATGTTTTTATTAGGAATATTGGTTAATTCATGTTTGCATTTCGCTTCAAACTAGTAGAAATATTAGGATACTCACATGTGTTGTCAGTCACTGTATATTCTTCATTGTTGATAGTTATAAGTTGTTTTGATTTAGACATTGCAGCTAATGAATGCTGATAGATGTAACTCATTTGAACCGGATTCAATTAGCAATGATAGCTGTGCCTTATGGTTGTTCTGATGATGATTAATTGGGGAATGTTATTCTGGAAGATATACTTAGGATTTTGTTTACTTTTGATTATGGTTCTTTAAAGGTAAAGTCGAAAAAAACTTGTTCCGAATGAATCTATTTTATTTCTGCCGAATATGGCTGACTTAAATAGAGTTTACAATGTAACAACTTTACATAAAAAGATGCATAAAATTAGCAACAGAATAAAACTGATTCTATCTAATTAAAACTGATCCTATCTAATAACTAACAGAATAAAATATCTAGTTAACAATCCTAATATTTAATTTAGATATTCTCGACACCCACCTCAAGCTGGAGAATAGATATCGATCATTCTCAGCTTGGACAGAAATCCTTCGAACATCGTAGTAAACAGTCCCTTGGTGAGAACATTGACGAGCTGCTCTGATGATGGAACAAACGGTATGCAGATATCGCCATTTTCCAGCCTCTCCTTGATGAAATGTCGATCTATTTCGACATGTTTGGTCCTGTCATGCTGTACAGGATTCTGAGCAATACTGATTGTCGATTTGTTGTCGCAATACAACTTCATCGGTTTATCTCCTTCAACCTTCAGCTCCTCCAAGATTCTCCTAAGCCATAACAACCCACATACTCCTTACGCCATGGCTCTGAACTCGGCCTCCGCACTGCTTCTAGAGACAACTGGTTGCTTCTTGCTTCTCCAAGTAACTAAGTTGCCCCAGACAAAGGAGCAATAACCGGTGGTAGATCTTCTGTCTGTAGAACTTCCGCCCCAATCAGCATCAGTGAAGATCTCCACTCTTCGACTTCCATTCTTCGAAAACATGATTCCTTTACCCGGATTCCCTTTCAAGTAATGAAGAATCCGGTAAACAGCCTTGAAGTGTTTTTCTGAGGGACAATGCATAAACTGACTAACCAAGCTCACAGCAAATGCAATATCTGGTCTCGTATGAGCCAAATAAATCAGTTTCCCTACCAGCTTCTGATACCGATTCTTGTCCACAGGCTCAACACCATCTTCTTTTTCGAGTTTTTGATTCGGATCAATAGGAGTCGCCACTGGTTTACATCCGAGTAATCCAGTCTCTTTCAAGATATCGAGGACATATTTCCTTTGCAAGATAATTATACCTTTTGAGGATCTAAGCACCTCCATTCCAAGGAAATATTTGAGTTGTCCTAGATCCTTGACTTCAAACTGGTTGGATCAGAAGTTCTTCAGCGACTCCAATCCAACTCTACTGTGTCATCTCCTGTCATAACAATGTCATCTACATACACAATTAAAATAGCAATTTTACCATTATTGTGTTTGTAGAACATAGTATGATCGGACTGGGCCTGAGTGTAACCATGTTGTTTCACAGCTCTCGTGAATCTCTCGAACCAGGCTCTCGGAGATTGTTTCAATCCATAAATGGATTTCTTTAGCTTGCAGACTGCCATCCTTCTTCAATTCATCAATGCCTGGAGGAACTTCCATAAACACCTCTTCTTCTAGCTCACCGTTTAGGAACGCATTCTTCACATCAAACTGTCTGAGAGTCCAATCCAGATTGGCGGCTAGTGAGAGTAGGACACGTACGGTGTTTAGTTTGGCCACAGGAGCGAAGGTTTCCTTGTAGTCAAGGCCGTATGTCTGAGTGAAGCCTCGTGCTACGAGTCTTGCTTTGTATCTCTCGATTGAGCCATCTACATGGTATTTGATGGTGAACACCCACTTGCTGCCTATAGATCGTTTCCCCCCAGGTAAAGGAGTTAAATTCCACGTGTCATTCTTCTTCAGGGCCTTTAACTCCTCAAAAACTGCCTCTCTTCATCTCGGAACCTCTAGAGCTTCATGTATCGACTTAGGTAGTTCATCATCCATAATCCTGGTGGAAAAAGCTTTGAAATCTGGAGAGAGTTTATGATAAGAGACGAAATTGGATATTAGATGTTTTGTAGTACATGATCTGACACCTTTGCGTAAGGCTATGGGTTCAAAGAATTCTGTAGAAGGCTCTAAATTTGGAGAAGAAATAGGAGAAAGAGAAGTCGTACCTTGGACCATAGTCGAGTCCGATGGTTGGCATACCTTGGAGGCCGGTGGAACATTACTTGGTCGAATCATCCTTCTAGAATAAACACGAAGTTCAGTAGGTGGTTCCAAGTCGGCTTCTACCTGAGTCTCACGAGGTTGTGAATTTATAGGTTGTGAAATCCTAGGATTAGTTACAGGAATATGAATTGGTTCTACTGAGCTATTTACAACCAATTTTGGCAAAGATGTTTGTTCCCAAAAACTCATTTCAGAGTCATTCTCCCCCGGAAGAGAGTTTTTGTCAAAAAAATATTGTTTTTCAAAAAACGTGACATCCATACTCACATAATACTTCCCAAATTTAGGATCAAAGCATTTATACCCTTTTTGTGTTGGTGAAAAGCCTAGAAATATGCATTTATGTGCTCGGGGATCAAGTTTTCCTCTATTTTGGTTGTGTATATGAACAAAAACAATGCAACAAAAAATTTTAGGTGTTAAATCAGTGAAAGATCTATTTTCAGGAAACATATTCTTTAGAGCTTGCAAAGAAGTGATATAATTAAGAACTCTTGTAGGCATTCGATTTATCAAATAAGACGCTGTTAAGAGTGCTTCATTCCAAAAACGATTAGGAACATTCATAGCAAACAGTAAATCCCTAGCCACCTCTAATAAATGCCTATTTTTTCTTTCAGCAACTCTATTTTGTTGGGGAGTATCAACGCAAGAACTGTGATGAATAATTCCTTTTTGTTTCAAAAAATCACCTAAGATTGCATTAAAATATTCTCGACCATTATCGGTTCTAAGAACTTGAATATTTGCTTGAAACTGAGTATTGATTAGTGAGTGAAAATTTTTGAAATCACTTGCTGCCTCGAATTTTTCTTTTAGTAAATAAATCCACGTGACTCTAGTGTGATCATCAATGAATGTGATGAACCATCTAGATCCTGAGGCTGTTTTTACTCATGAAGGGCCCCAAATATCACTATGCACAAGAGAAAAAGGTTTTGATGGCATATACTTTAAAGATGGATAAACAGATCTATGATGTTTTGCCAATTCACAAACTTCACACTGAAAAGAAAAATCGTCTTTTTTTTTAAAAGATTTGGAAACAAATATTTCAAGTAATTAAAACTAGGATGGCTTAACCTATAATGCCACAACATTATTTCATTCTCACAAGACAAGGTAGTGAAGCATCTTGGTTTCTGAACTTGTTTATCTGAAGGATTTTCCGTGACCAAGTGATAGAGTCCATCAACCTCCTTAGCATTGCCAATCATCTTCCCCGAACAAGGGTCCTGTAATTCAAATCCAGCAAATGTTATTGTAGCAATGCATTTGCAATCATGAATAATACGATTAACAGAGATGAGATTGCAAGAGAGCTTTGGGACATGTAGGACATTTAGTAATGTGAGAGATGGAGAAATAATGATAGAGCCTTTTCCAGCTATAGAGGTTAGGGAACCATCAACAATTTTTACTTTCAGATTACCAGATAAAGGAAAATAAGATGAGAATATGGAGGAACTACCGGTCATGTGATCTGTTGCCCTTGGATCAGATCCAAGGGTTTGATTTAGAACCGGCTATGAAAGCTGTAGGATATGTACCTTTCTGGGCTAATGATGAAGAGGCAATATAAGATGATGGGTTAGGAGTGTTGGATATGGAATGAGAACTCATTAGTTGATACAATTGCTCTAGTTGTTCTTTGTTGAAGGCAGACGGTTCTGAGGCAGGTTTCGGTTCTTCAGAAGCATCTTCAGATGAGGCATGAAATCCCTTTGCATTACGAGAATTCCGATTGGCTGAAAAATTCTCGGCTGGCTTCCCGTGTAGCTTCCAACACTTGGCTTTAGTGTGTCCCGGCTTGTTGCAGTGCTCGTAGATTGGCCGATCTTTGTCGTTCCGACGATCGTTGCGACGTGATGGCTGACCCGAGAACAAGGCAGAAGACTCGGTGGGATTTGGTGAGTGGCCTCCAAGCATGACTGTCCGCCGGCTCTCCTCTCGTCTGACTTCGGAGAAGACTTCTCTTGTGCTTGGTAGTGGTTCACGACCAAGAATGCGCCCTCTGACTTCATCCAATTCCTTGTTAAGGCCGACTAAGAATTCGAAGACGTGTTCTTTTTCCACCATCTTCTGGAATAGAGCCCTGTCCTTAGCACAGCTCCATTCGTAGTCGTTGAACATGTCAACCTCTTGCCACAAGGTCTTGAGGTTGGTGCAGTATTGAGTGACAGTTTTTTTCTCCTTGTTTTAGCCTCCGTAATCGAGTTTTTAGCTCAAACTATTGTCCTGCGTTCCCGAGATCAGAATATGTCTCATTCACAGCATTCCAAATGTCATGAGCAGTAGGTAGGAAGAGATAAGTTCTCCCTACACTCGGATCCATGGAATTTATGAGCCAAGACATAATCATCGAGTTTTCTGCCTCCCATCTTTCAGATTCTTCATCTTCTTCGGCAGGTTTCGTAGTGGTACCTGAGAGATAGTCGAATTTTTCACTGTCACGAATAAACAGTTTCACAGATTGTGACCACTGTAAGAAATTATTTCCATTCAACTTATGAGAAGTGATGGATATGTTTTTGAAGGATTCAGTGTTTAGGGTGATATCAGAGGTATCATCGTAGTGTTTGGCCATTTCTGGCTCGGATACCATAAAGTCGAAAAAAACTTGTTCCGAATGAATCTATTTTATTTCTGCCGAATATGGCTGACTTAAATAGAGTTTACAATGTAACAACTTTACATAAAAAGATACATAAAATTAGCAACAGAATAAAACTGATTATATCTAATTAAAACTAATCATATCTAATAACTAACAGAATAAAAAACTGATTCTATCTAATTAAAATAGATCCTATCTAATAACTAACAGAATAAAATATCTAGTTAACAATCTTAATATTTAATTTAGATATTCTCGACAAAAGGCATTGAGAAAGTATTGTTTGTTTACATCTAGGACGGTAGGCAATCTGTTAGTGCCACTATGGCTGGAGGGGAGAATGAAGCAGTGCAACGGCTTAAAAAATTTGCAGCCGAGTGTCGAGCACAGCCGTACAAGGGGAGCAAGGATGGTAGCCAGGACAGCATATATGGTGCTAACTTTTCTTGCAAAATATCTCCATGGCTAGCCGTGGGATGCATATCTCCCAGGTTCATGTTTGATGAACTAAAGAAAACTGCGAATAGGTATTCTTTCAAGTACCCCTTTTTTCTCTCTCTCTCTTAAATGTATAAATATTGAGCTTTTTCTTGTGGATTTGGTCGAAACATATTACAATGGAGCAAATTGATCCTTATTACAAAAACCCCACGTAGTTGGAGAAGGCTTGGTTGTGGTTTAAACAATTTCAGGTTATCAGATATTTACTATTGATGAATGCATTTTATGTGATCTGCAGGACCATTTCTTCTGCTCCAAAGAAAAATGATGGCGGTAGTGGCTCACCTGATACTCAAATGAACTGGTTGATGTTTGAGTTGTTGTGGAGGGATTTCTTCAGGTAAAAACGACCTAGATTCACCTTTGCAGTAATGATATTAATTTTCCTTAAACCAAATCGAAGCTGAATATTTCATTGTGAATTGTCCATTTTGTGGTGTAGATTCATCACCAAGAAATACAGTTGTGCGAAGGTTGGAAGTGCTGCTCCTGCCACAGCTTGTACAGGTACCCTTGCTTAAGCAAAGAATTTGTACTGATTTTGAGGGGGTTATTGTTTTGGGAGTGTGGGTTGTTCTCAATTCTTCATGGATTTTTAACTTGTATCGAGTAGCTATTAAATGGAATGGTAGAATAGGTTTGCTCAAAAGGCAGTCCTCCTTGTTGAACTCTTTGTTTGTGTCGCCTAATAAATTGCGTTGTTATTGTAAATTTGTCTCGGCTTTTGGGCCTTGAAACCACTATGGCTGTTTCTGCATTGTTTAAATGGAAATTAGGGGTTCCAGGGATAACAGTTCGGACTGGTTTTTGAAAAAGAAAATTACCGTTAACAAAAACCGAATAGAACTCAAATTTATTGGTTTGGATTCATGCGATTAATTGGTTTAAAAAAAGGTAAACTATGCCCATGTTCAATACTGTAATATAGATATTGGATTTTCAAGTATTTAGATATAACTTTGAAAAATAGGTACTAAATTGATAAAATAAATACAATTTAGGGGACAATTTGTCCATTAAGTCACTAATAAATTATTTTGTTTTATTAAATATTAATATCATGAATCACATATATGAATAAGGGTTGGTCCCAAAAATTGAAAAATTATATAGTGAAAAAGAAAAAAGCCAGAAACTCTAAGGGAAGAGAGCACAACAAATATAAGCCACAGCATCATAAAGAATACACTAGTAACCCAGGCCCAAAACCTAGGACCTCCAAGCTCTGCCCCCAGTATCAGTCGCCTAATTACCAAAACCGAAATGCACCCAACGGTTCTCCGTATGAAATGAAATTGTATGCAGCATCTATCAACCACGGAATGCCGATGCCAACGTAAATGTTCACTGAGTTACTGCAAAAGGACACATATAAAAAACTCTGCAGTAAGTCTTTCTTTAGCCCGCCAAATATGAACACTTCAGATAAAAGTGGTGGAGCAATTGACATCACTCTTAAGCACTAAATCTTAGAAGTAAAACAAAAAGGCAACTCGTTCTTCCCCTTAAATTAAGGTATCATAGGGTAACAGTGAAACAGCTTCATAGGATTTGGCCATTTGGTACCTTGTACTAAATCAACTAATTTCAGTCTTACAGGAAACTCCTCATACAAAGACTTGGGTCTCTAGATTTTGAAGCACAGCTAAAATACGACATTCTGTGAGATATACCTGCAAGTAATATTTGATATGGCAGAGTCGGCTGTTATCTGACGTTCAGCAGCAATCTTACTTGCCACTAAATCTGGCCATGAAGTTCTAGCTGCTAATGCTGTAAATGCTATGAAATAACCATCTATCTCTGCAGCAGAATACAGAATGAGATAATAGAGAATTCACTTGATAACCAATAGGAAAAATAGTATTTTTTTAGGGGATGAGAGCAAGGGTAAAAAACCTGAAACACAGCTTATAAGATCAATCAGCTTTGTTACAATGTAAGCTATCCCACTGATGAAAATTAGAGAACATATGAAGGCAATCCATCCATGAGCAATGTGATAAGGAGGTACAAAAGCGAACAGGAGTCTCCATGGTACAAGTAGTGACTGCCAAAATATTCTTGCTAGCCGAAGATAGATATTGTTTAGTTCCTTCGGTTGACGGTTTCCAACTGTTTAAAAAATAAGGAATCATTCACTACTGCTAAGCTTAGATAAGAGGGAGGTGGGCAAAGAAGTCCCCTTGTGTGCACATGGAGATATGATGGAAAAATAATTAGATCAAAGAAAAAGTAAAATGTCCAAATCTAACATGCATTAGCTCCAAGAAACTTGAAGTACTGATTCAAACGAAGGAAGCAAGACCTAGTTAAAAGGGGAAAACTCAAGGGAGCTTCATGTAGAAATGTTTGTACCAACTTCTAGAGACAAGATAGATTGAGACGGTCATTACAATGATAGATTGCTTTCTTCTTTTTAGCTTTGCAATGGTCGAGTGCTAAATCATTAACCAATAATTATAAGATGCTACAATGTAAAGATACATACTGTAAGTGCATCCACGAACTGTGTTTTCCAGATTAGGCACATGAAGGCCTTCTGAATTGGTCTCCTGATGAAAGGGATGTCGGAGGTTTCAACAAAATCTTCAGCTGGAGGCAGCTTCTGATAAATATGGTCTGCAACCATTTGAATTATAAAATTAGTTCTGATTAATTCATCATCGGCTTAAGCTACTGAAACTTAATATCATCATAAGTTTTTATAGGGCTTATAGCCAACCTCTCAACCCTGTTAGAATATAAGTGACAACTGACAACAATTTAATGTAAATCATCTAAAATACCTCATTTATATAAATTACACTTAAGCCCACAAAGATACAACATCTGATCATTCAACAAACATGGTTTTGTCCAGCATCAATATCCATGAATCATCGCATACCAGGACCTCTCTCTATTTTGGTTTCTAATTTGCCTTATTGAGCACAATCTGGCAACCTGCAGCCTATAACTTCTAATTTCATGTCTTCTCTATGACTTCATCATTCTATGATTCTATATCTCAACAATTATAGCATAGAAATTAAGGCAAGTGGATATTGAATTATAGTTTTGATGAACAATGCTTAAGTTGTCCATGGTCCATCATACGTAACATTAATTCGAAGATATGATTTCACTTCATATTAACCTAGCATTCCCTTCACTCTTGAAGCATCAGTGAAACTTGTTTTGCTCACCACAAAATGACCTGATAATTAAAGAAAATATAACAAATTCATGTTTCAAACATTAGTAGCGAAGACGTACTCCAATTCACATACCATTTTCACTGGAAGGCTCATTTGGCATACAAATATGATCCTGAAATCAAATCAGAATCAAAGAAACGAGACTCAAAACGGAAAACACACTCCACAAACAACCAAGATAAATCCAAAAACTTCCATTGATGGTCAATGTAAATCCAAAATCTTTGATGAGATCGGAAAGACTACTTTTAGGGTTTTTTTATTGTCACCAAAATTAATTATTTATCGAAACACTATCAATGATCAGTGGCTAAAAAAACGAGGTCAAACAGAATTGATAAGAATAAATGATCAATGAAGCGTAGAACGAGATACCCAGGATTTAGTTAAGAATTATGTATTTTTATCAGATAAGATTTGGGTGTTCTCCGTTGAAATTGAAGTATGCCATGGAATTGAATTACTTTAATTAAAATGACAAATCACTGTACTATAATCGGTCAGGAATAGTTAAGAAAGCTTAAAATTAATTAACTCAATTTGAAACTGATTAATTTATCAAAATTTTAATATATGAAAAGTATTTAAGATTTAATGTTTGTATTTTTAATTCTAATATTAAGTTTAAATAAAATTATAAAATAAATTTATTTTCAATTTATTGTTACTTGAATTATTATTTTGAATCAAAATATATTACTTTTTTTTTACTAATTTAAATTAATCATATGAGCTATAATTATTTTGATTCAGTTAATTTTTTATATATAATTTAATTTTATTAACTATTAATATTTTTGGAAAATATAATTTTTTAATTAATATTTATTATTAACTGAACTCGCACTCTAAACAAACCAAGATTATGATTATAATATGGAATGTGAGTCAACTCTGCCTTATTGGACTGTTTCTCATTAAAAAAAATGGGGTATTCCCCCCCTTTTTTTGACTGATCTTATTATTTTTATTTTTTGTCTCCCACATTTTTCCTTGGCTAAAATATATTTATTTGATCACTAAACTATTATTGATTTTCTATTTTGGTTACCAAACGTTTTTGGTAAAATTGTAAGTTTTGTTTTATTTTGATCATTGACCCTTAAAAATTAATGGAAATGGTGATGTATCCTAATATAATAATATTTTTAGTCCTTAAGACTTTATACTCTGTCAATAATGTTATGACTCATCAAATATTTGGTCAAATCTCAAAATTCTAATCTTCTTTCTTCACTTGTTCTTCATCTACTAAATTTTGCTTCTCCAAACGCTCGAAATTGAGAAAAGGAAAACTTTAAGAAAATCATTTGCATTGGTACGCTAAGAAACATACAAATATTAATAAAAAGAAAAGACATAACTAATTTTAGGCATTATAATATTAACTACTGTACGTTACAAATATCTGGATTTCATCTACAAATGCTTCACGTATTGGCTGATGTTCTTAACCTAAAAATATCTTGCAAAACCTAAAAATATTTCCTATTCTCAAACGCTAACGACGACGATGGTGAAGATGACGAGAACAATAGATAAACGAGAATGACGATATGGAACATAGTGCTAACAATCAGTGGCGGATGCACTAAGCCCTTATAGAGCCAAGTGCATCTTCATTATTTTAGAAAAGTGGTTAAATTTAGTTTAATGTGTTAAGGAAAAAATAAAAAAATACAATTTTTGCATACCTATTATTTTTAAAAAAAAAAAAAATTAAAATTTTAGACCCCTATTCTTAAATTTTTAAATCCGTTCCTGCTAACCATGAAAATCACGACAACCTGAATAGTGGTGGAATGTTAAGAAAGAAAAATGACGGTAGAGAGTGAAACAGGGTGTGTTAAGTGGCTACACCTTTTCAAAACGGGTAAGAAACTGAAAAAGATATATGTAGGGTTTCATATATCCTAAAATTTAAGTTAAATTATGAGGTAGTCTCTATATTTTTAGGAGTTCACAAAAGGACCCAAAAATTTTACGACCTCTTCAATTCACCCTAACTTTGTGGTGTGACATTGCCCAGACCATCATCATTGTTGGCTCGACATGACTTCCCCTTCTCTGACGATAGGTGTTGGATGAACAGCGTTCCTTTTTTTGGCTTGTGATGACGTATGGTTTGTGGGTTCTACCACTCTTGTAAGCCTTTCGTTTATTGTCTTGGGAACAATTAAAATATCCAAAATATCTCAAACTTAATAATTAAAATATCTAAATTTTGAGGGTGGTATATTGGTACCAACTACAGAGAATGACTTTGCCCTTAATATATATAAAAAGGTAAATAATACAAATAGTCTCATTTATTTTTTGTTTGATACACTTTGATCATTAATTTAAAAATTAAGTAACTTTGATCTTTTACATTTTTTATTCGTCCGACTTTAATTCTTCAATCGTTAAATTCTGTTAACTCGTTAATGAAAGTATTACGTGACATTTAAAAAAGAGCACGTGTCTTCTTTCTTCTAACACTTGGATTAGATTATTTTGATTCTCTGTTAAAAAAACCTTTGGTGGAACATGTTCATTTATATATGTTAAGCAAGGCACCCCATGTTCCTCAACTCAGCCCTTCACAGGCCTCGAAAGAACACCTTACCGGCAGTGACGGAGAACCTCATGCAAATCAAAACTATGTTAATATGATGGCTGAGAACAGATCACTAAATCCAACAGAACATGACAGGGTCGTTGAAGAAGAGCCTCTGGCTTCAGCCGATTCTAATCCAGACAACGCTGAAAAGAGAATGCGGGTAGTGAGAGCGATTCCTGTCAGGAAACCCAGTCATCAGTAGTTGTGAAGGTCGTCGGAAATTAGGGTTCAAAGATCTGGTGATGGCCGCTTGTTTATATGGGATATTGGACTTACTACTGCAATCTTAACGGACATGGTGTTGTTTTCATGAGTAGTTCATAGTTTTCCCCATTTTTTTATTTAAGAAGTTCATGAAACCTTGAAAATTCACAATTTTCTGACTTTAACTTTTGGTTTTTTAAAATTATGTTGCACTTTGTCAGGCTAAGAAAGTGCAAAGCTTTTTCTTTTGACTTCCTGCACCTCAATCCAAGAGCTTTTTCATGAATTTTCTCAATGAACTCAAATAGAAACATTCTATGAAGTTGTTTAAATGCTCAGACTCATGAATTCCTCTTAATAAATCTTAATGTGAAATCTATAAAATTCTTGAAGGATAGCAAATAACAATTCCCAATATCCAATCATTCTAGTTGCACCAGGGAGAAGATTAACTGGAGCATATGAGGTGGATTTTACATCACTCTCAATTCTAGTATCTTCATTAACTAACATGATTAAGTCTAGGGGTGGATAAATAACCAATATTCCATTGATTCCGAAGTAATTAATATATTTATAAAAGTATTGTTATATATAATTTAGGTTTATGTTTTTCATTTATTATTCTGCGTCTCATTCTATCCTCCTCTTCTCATCATTTTTATTTCTTTTCCTTTCCTTCTGTTCTCATCGTTAACTAACAGTTGATGGTGATATTAGCTGACGAGGGGTGTACTTTAAAGAGCTGACCAAACGAGGCCCCACAGCCTCCTCTGACGCCGCCCAGGACTCAATGGTGAACTGGTCCAAGATAAATCCCTGGACAAGCTTGCAAAGCGTTTGTTGTTCCAATGCTTTAACCTTCTTCACTCTTCTTACTAATTGATCAGCTTCCTATATGTTTCCAGAAATAGCTGCCACTGTTCCTGAGTCAATAACTTCAAACTCGGTTAAGAACTTATTAAATATCATAATTAATTGATTGGATTTTTAGGTTAAAAGTCGTCGGTATGGGTTGTCCCACTAAAGGTTCCAATGCACAGACTGATCTCATTTTCAATGATGCACCGACTCGAAACTTCTATAATATCTTATCTCCCTCCAACGATTTTCTATGTTTTCCATGGAGAAACTCTACCGCTGCCTTGGCTTCACATTCTTCATTTTCTCACCATCAAGCTTTTAACTCGAAGAAAGCAAAACTTACCTCCCAGCCCCTTGTTTCTGCCAATTATTGGCCACTTTCACCTTCTCAGTAGCCCGCTCTACAAATCATTAGCAACCTTGTTATCCAAGTATGGCCCCATTTTATATCTCAGAGTAGGTTGTAGGCGTATCCTTATTACATCTTCTCCTTCTGCTATTGAGGAATGATTCGGCAAGAACGATATGATATTTTCAAACCGGCCTCAGACTATGGCCGGGGATACTTTAGTGTACGACGGCCGTTCTTACGTGTGGGCTCCTCATGGACCTCTTTGGAAGAACCTTCGCCGTCTCAGCGTCGTCGAGATTTT